CTTCATTGTTGATGGATCCAGGTACAGCCTCAGATACACACAATCACTGTGGAACACAAGCGGCGTATTGGGTCTGTTTCAGGAAGGAGGTTCAACCAACCCTGAGTTTAAACTTGAGCTAGCGAGAGATTATGAACTCTGAGTTGTGTGTTGGAGAAGAGCTGATCTGAGTTAGCTCAGTCTACTTTAGTTAAGCACGCTCTGTTCTCTTGGTAAAGTTATTTCAGATGTAAGTGCACTACATGACATAAATGAGTTCAGCTTATCTGCCGTCTTGTTTTGTCAGATGTTGTAGAAACAGCAGTAGTCTGGTTAAGGTTTCCTCATGTTCACACGCTGATCAGTTGAATTAAACAAGCACAAGCCGCTCTCCTGACTGCTCTGTGTGACTGTCATGTAGGCAACCGCTCTGTTTCCATCCGAACATGCTCATTCCAGAGTTCACCCTCGGCTGATGAGGGATTATAAAGAGTGTTTGGCATGCTGTCTCATAAGATCCTCGAGCCCGGGGCTCCCTCCCGTTTGCAGGGTGAGAGGGGAGTTTGAGCTGTGGTAGATGTGAATTGAATTTTATTTGACAGATTTTAGACAAACTGTACAAAAAGTATTCCATACACTGTCGAGGATAAAAACACAATAAAGCCCTGGGCTTATTTCCATTGTGGTCCTCTGTTAAATAAAAACAATGTATGACTTCAAAATACTAATGAAGAATAAAACAAACAGTCGCCACAGCGGTACGAGCAGCCAACCTATCCAGCACATGTTCCACACAGCCAATGTCCCTCCAGCCGCAAACCTATTCACACTCAAGTACACATCATTTAAAAGATCCTCGTCCACCAGGCAAACTAATTATCCTCATCAAACAACCATTTTTGATAGCTTTTTTGAACAACTTTAAATCTTTTATTGCCTTAGTGGATTTTGGTAGTTCGTTCCACATGACGCACTTGTATATAAAAACATATTTTTCCCCACTAAACTTCTAAATTTAAATAAACAAATATTAAAATCCCAACTCCTAGTACTGTATGAATGCTGTTGCCTCACCATTTGAAAATAGTTCATCAAATAGCTAGGAACCACATTATTAAACATTTTACGTACCATTCCCAGCTCCCCTGCTGATGAACAGATAGTGATCGCTCTTCACAGATAACTACTGACTAGCAGCATGTCTATGTGCTGATGTGGATTAGTCCGTTAACTTAAGCTGCATGTTTTTGGACGGTGGGAGGAAACCGGGGAAACACACGTGAGCACGGGGAGAACGTGTAAACTCCACACAGAAACATCAGCTGGCTTGGTAAGGACTAGAACCAGTGATGTTCTTGCTGTGAGGCAACAGTGCTAACCACTGGGCCACCGTGCCGCCCATCTAGGAAAGTAGGAGGAGCAGGGGTGGAGGGGGGATTCTTCAAAACGAGGACGACTGTAATATGGAGCTCAGGGTGTTTATAGTGGATTAGGAATCGTCTGATTGGTCAATCATGAGTTGAATAATGCGGGACCGGCTGCAAGCAGTCATAAGCACATGATCCTCTCCACATTAGTTTATAAAGAAATGTATGCACAAAATCAGTATATCACATTAAAGACGTGTGAATGAAGCAGCGTTTACATCCAGTCAAAGCCAACAAAACAGTTTCCGTCACTTCTGTGCATCTTGGCGTTTCCAGCAACTGATTGTGGTTTGATTTGTTTATGCGCATCTCCTAAATGCTGATTAACATAGGTGTGTGGAAACATAAGACCAGAAATACACCTTTAAAAAGAAGAGGAGACCGACAGAGTCAGAGTTTAGAGAGTAACCCTGCTCACGACCAGCTTAGCTTCACTGAGTACATGACCACGGTGCAGTGACCCGTCTTTCAGAAACAGGCTCGACTTACCCTGCTCTCTCCAGTCTGACTAACCTGATAATCTGAAAGGGAAAACTCAGAGTTTCTCTCATCTCACGGTGAACAAACTGAGCTTTACTTCACCTCCTTCCTGAAACAGAGCCTTTGTGTTCGACTCCATACACACACAGCGCTGACAGTGTTCTCACGTTGAACAGACGTTACTCCAGCAACGTTTACAGAACGATTGTTCAAAGTTATCTGGACTTTACTCCTCAAAACAAGTGATTTTGCATGAAGTGCAGCTGAGTAGCGTTCACAATAAATGCGCTATATAAATACACATTAATGAATAATCTCACTCTAGAATCAATAATAAACCCTCACATCAGTGTGTAATTACCTTTTTAAATGAGTGTAATATTTCTGTATTTAACATTTGAATATGACCGACAGCCTTAAAGATGATGTGTGTAAATGAGTGTGATGCGCTGATAACCGGCCTGGAGCTGTCCGACATGCCTTCATCAACACTCCTCATGAACTAACAGCAGCTCAGTCATTGATCCAGTGGAGACGTGCTGGAACACTCGAGTGCACCCAAAAATCTACATTTCATTCATTCATTTATTTCCCCTTTACCTCTTTAAACCCTGTTGAACACAAAAGAAGATATTTTGAGAAATGTTGGAAACCTGTAACCATTGACTTGTGTAGGGTTGGTGTCTCCTGCTGTTCCAACACACACTCATAAGGGTTTGGACGCAGTCGAGGATGAGCACATGTCAGTTTGACTGAACTATCCCTTAATATCTGACTTTAGAGAGCACGTGAGATTATTGTGTCCCTGAATTCCTCCTGTCATGTTCTTAAATATTGCTTCAGAACATTCAGAGAGGATTTAAAATAATTCTGGTTCTACATGCATATCTGGAGCCGAGTATGAGATGTCAGTCTCTCTGATGCTCCTCTACTGTCTGCGTTCAGCAGCGGATGACCAACAGCTATTGTTAATGTGGATGAAAGAAAGCGGCGGCTTTAATCACACACACACACACACACACACACACATCATAATGAGGTTCATACTGAGAGCGAGGACAATGACGACTCTGCATTCTGACAAACTGATGAAAGAGAAGCCTTCAGCTGCACACACACACACACACTCACTCATCAGTCTGAGCTCCACCACTAACATGCACTTGTAGTTCTGCTAGGGTTATGAACAAACGCTTCAGTAACATTAACAGAACGTTCCTTCCCATGCAGTGTGTTTTCTACCATTAGTGACGTGGTGAGCTGTGTTATTATCAGCTGGAATATTCTCTGATTCAGTCTGAAACTCTACTAATAACCAGAGCAGAGACGCCGGAGATTCAGATCCACTGTTTATAATGTACAGACTCATAAAGCAGAGCAACACCGAGAGAGACACACACATCTCAACACCACATACAAAAATAGACAATCAGCTCTGAACATTACAGACCATCCCAGACCAAGTGTGTGTGTGTGTGTGTGTGTGTGTGTGTGTGAGTGAATAATGTTTGGCTTAAAGTGAAACAAGGAAAGGCTCAGAAACTAGAGCTGTAGATGAAAGTGCGTTAGCTTCAGTTAGAGAAATAAATACAACAACAACACATGAATGGAGAGAGAGAGGGAGAAGTGCTGTGAGCTGACATGGTTAAAGTGCAGAGAGCGGCGAGAGGGTTTGGCAGCGGCGCGGCGTCTGATAATGCCTGACCATTCTGATGGGTTATCTTACAAACCAGTTCAGCAAAGCTGGGTTAGAGAGTGCGCTCGGGCTGACAAATGTACAGAAATGCAAACTAGATCTGATCAGGGGCTCTATATAATTCACTGCTAGAGTCCGCTTCACTTCTGTTGAAGAGTCAGAGATATTATTATCATCATCAGAAATATAGTCAGGTCAAACACACGGCTGAAATAAACACGCTATTGAGAAGGAAGCATTATCATATCACTGCAGATCATCATTTATTTTAATAGTGTAGGTATATTGTCAAACTCAAGCGGTTTATAGAGAACATGTGAAGAGTTCAGATGCAGAAACCTGTAAATGCCGTCCTGAAGTGAGCATGACTTCAGCCGTGTGTGTTTATGTTGAATTATTTCACTTTTAAGGCAATAAACAGAACTTATTCATCACTATAGAGTAAAATGAGTGAGCTCAAACACACACACACACACACACACACACACACACACACGAGTCTGAGAAAACAACACAAAAACAAGCGGTGTTTACAGCTGTCTGCATCTGAACTCTACATATATTGAAGGTGCTTTATATCTTAATATTTACATTTAAATGCTAATTCAAATGAGCAGTATATATTAACAGTTTGACATTATAAATATGCATAATTAATAAACGCATAATCAGCAACACACAAACACCAGAAGTGTGCAAAGACTTTCATTTTGGAGCCAAAAGACGCAGGAGGACGGGGAGGGGCTTTATCATGTACTCTCAGCTGATTGGTCTGTAAGTTACCATGGCGATGAAACCTGATCAAAACCAACCCGCCGCCTTGTCCGAAAACTCAAGAGTTCACACAAACTAAACGAGAAGATGCCGGGGTAAAACACTAGCACTGGGCAGAGAGTAATCACAGCCAAAATACACAACAATATATATATATATATATACGCATGTGTGTGTGTGTGTGTGTTATATTTATTATGTGATAGAAACATATACAAAAAGATAAAATACTGAAATATTTAACTGTGTGTAATTTGTATGGCATACATATAGATTTCAGAAACCCATCTTTAGTCAGATATGAGCACACACACGCTGTATTTATATACACCTCACACATATGCACAGCACACACATATGCACAGCACACACATATGCACAGCACACACATATGCACAGCACACACATATGCACAGCACACACATATGCACAGCACACACATATGCACAGCACACACATATGCACAGCACACACATATGCACAGCACACACATATGCACAGCACACACATATGCACAGCACACACATATGCACAGCACACACATATGCACAGCACACACATATGCACAGCACACACATATGCACAGCACACACATATGCACAGCACACACATATGCACAGCACACACATATGCACAGCACACACATGATGGCAGAACAAGCTTTTATCTCATATGCGATATTGATGGAGATGACGGTTTGCCCAGCGCTAGTAACGCGAGTGAGCCTCAGATCTGCAGCACAATAAATAAATAGTGTTAATAGATGATGCAGAACATCAGCACTTCACACACACACACACACACACACACACACACACACACACACACACACACTACTGTGGAGGAATGACGAGAGAGAAGCTGATCCAAGCTCTGTGCTGAGCAGTAATGTGTGTGTGTGTGTGTTCTGTCATGAAGATGGACACACTCCTGCGTGTCTCTAGATGCCGCTGCTGGAGCTGTATTTGCTGTTCTTGGTCGTCTTGTTGCTGCAGCTCTGAGGCGTCTTCTGCTCGTCTCCCGTCAGAAGAGCCTTGATTTCTGAAGGAATCTTCCCCTGATCCATGGCCAGACACCACTGCTTATACTGCACACACACACACACACACACACAGGATGATAACGCAGCGATACACACAGCAGGACTGGAAATAGAGTGGTTTGATGAACATGACAGTGAAGTTGAACATCTGCCATGGCCTGCACAGTACCCAGAGCTAAACATTATTGAGCACTTTGGGCTATTTTGGAGGAGCGAGTGAGGACAGGTTTTCCTCCAGCAGCATCAGTAGTGACCTGAACACTATTCTGAAGAAGAACAGCTCAGAGACCCTCTGACCACTGCGCAGGACGCCTGTCTGTCAATCACTACACTGAGGAGGAGGAGCTACAGCACTAAGGAGGAGGAGCTACACCAGCTGATCAACTACTGCGCTCTAACACCAAGAGTTAAGTGTCCAGCCCCTGTATATATTTGTGTGTGTGTGTGTGTGTGTGTGTGTGTGTGTGTGTGTGTGTGTGTGTGTGTGTGTGTGTGTTCACCATGTCCAGCTCCTCCCTCAGGGCACAGATGGCTCTCTCTTTACTGGACACCAGCTCCTCCAGGTACTGGTATCGCAGCTTCTTGCGGGCTCGGCACTCTCGGGCGCTCTGCCTGCTGCGCTCCAGCTTGGCCTTCAGGTCGATCTTGGCAGGTTTGCGGCCGCGTTTGCCCGGTTTCTTCACTTTACCAGCCACTATCTGCCGATACACACAGCAGAGCTCACATTAACACACACACACACACACACTATTGCCCAGATTTACTCTTATTTTAGCCGATCATCGAGTCTATTTATTTACTCAGTATTTATATTTAAACGCTTTTTATATGAATCTGTCATATAATATAGGAATGTTTATATGATTTAATTATTATAAAGTCTTATTTTCTGCCCTTTCATAGATTTATTAAATGAGAGACTTGCTTTGTGGAGATCCCACTGGATTTCCGTTGCACACCTGATTCTGCTCATGCCAAACCTCACTGATGCTTTAATATTCACACATTCTGACTTTATTAACATCATTATAGGACAGTAATGAGGGAATCTGAATAGTGCGATGAACAATATAGCGACCACATCATCATTATTCATCTATATTACCTCTGAGCTTCTGCTTTGCTGTTCTGTTTAATGTGCGAATATTAGCCATATTTCCTCCATGCACAGCTCCAGTGTGAGTAATGCTGACGGCGCTGTTACACTGCTGATCTCACTGTATTGACATATACTCGAGTACAGCGACTTTAATATGGGGATGCTACTACAACATGCCTAATGTCTACATCAAGCTGGAGGAAGAGTTCTTAAGTCGATAATCTTCTGAAACACGAGTGTGTGTGTGTGTGTGTGTGTGTAATGAAAGAGTGTGTGGTGTTGATAATTCTCACCTTACTGTCATCCATTGCGTGTTTTCTCGATCATTCGACTGTAATCGATATGAATATCTGATTGAGACGATTTCTGATCAGTCCCCTAGCGGATCAGAATCCTGTGTTTTTAGCCGAATGCTATTGCTAACAGTGCTTTTCCGGTTTTGTAACGCGAGAGACGCCCACCGCGATGCATGCTGGGACATGTAGTTTATTCTGTGACCAAAATAAATCTTTCTTTCTTTAGATAGACTTTAATAAATATTTGAGTATTTAAGATTTTAATCAAAGAACTAGAATGGCTGCTCAGTGGTTAGCACTATCATCTCGCTGCAAGAAGGTTGCTGATTCGAGTCCCTAGGTCAGTTGGTGTTTCTGTGTGGAGTTTGCATGTTCTCCCCGTGTTGGTGTGGGTTTCCTCCGGGTGCTCCGGTTTCCCCCACAGTCCAAACACATGCGCTATAGGGGAACTGATCAACTAAACTGGCTGTAGTGTATGAGTGTGTGTGTGAATGAGTATGTATAGGTGTTTCCCAGTACTGGGTTGCAGCTGGAAGGGCATCCACTGTGTAAAACAAATGCTGGAATAGTTGGTGGTTCATTCCTCTGTGGCGACCACTGATAAATAAAGGGAATAAGCTGAAAGAGTATGAATGAATGAATATCGGACAGAACTACATTAATCTGACTATATATTCACTCATGATCTAGGCTGGTTTGCTAAAATGTTCCACGATCTTGTCATGACTGTGTTTTCTTTACTTAATCCATGTAAAGCTGCTTCACACACACTTTTAAAGTGCTATGGAACTCACACAAATATGTGATTTGATAAAGAGCAGCCAATTTACGCAATATTTTTTAACATTAATTCAGGAAAATACAGCTTTGGAGAACAGAAGATCATGTAAAACACTTGTAGTCAACATCTGAATGCATCAACTCTCTCAGCACAGTTGTCCTAAAACCAAATTATGTACTAACCAATACCAATATTTCTACAATTATTACATTTTATTAATTATTAACATCACTATTAACGAATTTATCATTACATAACAGTAATTTGATCATGCTGACGAGGGCACAAGAATGCAAGTACAGACAGCTGCTATAATCAAACTAATGAATGAGCCTGATTATTGCTGTTATTATCGTCCTATTATAATAGTAATGCACCTGCTGTGACACATGTATTACTGAAAATATGATATTTTACTTTTCATAGACTGTTGTACGTGTGTGTGTGTGTGTGTGTGTGTGTGTGTGTGTGTGTGTGTGTGTGTGTGTGTGTGTGTGTAAGTTCAGACATGATCACCTGCTGCTGTCGCTGCTTTGATTCGATCAGGCTCTCAGCGGGCCCTCAGGGGACCCCCGGAGCCTCTCTCCGTGCTAATAGGGGGAAAATAACACACTTTAACCCTCCTGTTCACTTCAGCTTCAAATGATCTGGGCACCATTAACAGCAGGAGAAAATAAATAAATAAACAAAGCTTTTTATTTAGAAATTAGGTTTCTAAATGAGCCCAACACTAAAAAGCATTTTCATATATTTCATACTAAACCCAGCCATCACGGGCAGGTAAAACAGTGTTAATACTGGGTATTATTCATACCATTTATTAAACTACAATTAACTAGATTGTATTTATGTATAGCCCTACCCCAACCCTAAACCCAAAGCTTACAATACTGTAAAATAACTAATTATATTAAGTTTTAAATAACCCATTACCTTGTATTTGATTAACATCTACCCCTTCCCCAACCCTACCTGCCCCTAACAGTACTGTAAATCAGTAATTATACAGAGAATTAGTGAAATTATCTATTAAATCACCCATTAAAGTGTATTTTGCTGACATCTAACCCTAAACTGACCAATCACGGTAATGTAAATACAGTAATTATACCATGCACTGTTCATATTATTTATTAAATTACCCATTAAACTGTATTTCATTAACGACTACCCCGAGCCTGAACTCGCCCCTCAGTCAGTGAAGTCCAGTCAGTGAGTACCCGCAGCTGTATCCCCTCTAGACTTCAGCACGGATCAGCTACCGCGTAAGGGGTTAACGCTGATAGTGATTGGTTAGTGATTGTGTAATGATCACCGAGCGGCTGAAGCTCCGCCCACAGACTCCGGTAAAACTCTTTTTGACGGTTTTCTGTGGATGCAGATCAGCGGGCGGCGGCTTCTGTCCTCCCGCTCGGGTGTGCTCCGGCTGGGCTTCAGTTCTCAGGGTTTCTCGCTGTGTTTGGAGAGTTTGAGGCCGGCGAGTTTCAGTGACGCCATGATGTTATTTATACCCGATGAGCTCACGAGCGCCGAACTCGGTAACTTTAGCACAACACGACCGGACGGCGCTGACTAGCATAACTAGCGGCCCTCTCCACTGGTTTACCCGCTCGTCTGTGGATTTACTGGAGAATGAGACCGACTGGAGGCTTCACGGTGAGTTTCCGACATGAGAAATAGATCGCGAGGGCCACAGTGTGTGTGTGTGTGTGTGTGTGTGTGTGTGTGTTCGTGTGTGTGTTCGTGTGTGTGTGTGTGTGTGTGTATGTGTGTGTGTGTGTGTGACACGGTGTTCGTGTTAGTTTCGTTTACTGTTTGTCTTAGTAAAGTTGCTCAAAGTGAATGTAAAGTTCACGAAAGCTCGGGTTAAGTTTGTTGTCGGATACACGGCGTGATGTTGTTGATGTTTGTGTGTATGTAGTGATGACAGGAACGCTAAAACACACTTAAACACACACTCGTGTCGTGTTGACTGACTGTAAACTTTACTGTGGTAAAACCTGCAATGACACACACACACACACAAACACACACACACACACACACACACACACACACACACACACACGGCTCAGAGGCGAATAACAAGATAATTAAAGTGTAATACTGCTTTAAATTTGGGTCCCCATTGACTGACAGCCATAAAACACATTTGAGTGCAACTGTAGTTGTAATATAATAATAATAATAATAATAATAATAATAATAATAATAATAATAATAAATATCAGAAGTGTAGTGTAAGAGTGCAAAACACAACATACACACATACAACAGTAGAACAGTAGTATTTATGAGTCATGTTCATAATAATGATG